GTGAAAGAGTCTTCTGAGTACTTGCATGATTTGTTCCATGTCGGTACAGAACGGGAGCCAGCAGACAGCGAAGGAAACCACCACTGTCCCTGCTATTTTAGTTAACAATACTAATCTGCAATCAAAAGAAAAGCTTACATCAGAAAAGATAAATCCAGCTACTGGTAATAAAAGTCAGCTCTTAGTTTATAGCGTAAACCTTTTTTTTAAAAGAGATACAGAACCGAAGGTAACAAATCTAAACAAAAAGAGCTACCGGTACCACAGAAAGTTCATCATCCCCAGATTAGTGAGAACGATCCATGAGAACCACAGAGCTACTACTGCCAACCTAATCAGGTTGCCCACCACAGCCCACGCAATTTAGCTTACAGAATGAAGAGTGCTAAGAAAGGACACCTTAAAAGATTTCACTATTTGTTCAGCAGAATTACTTAATGTAGATCTCAACAAGAAATGTTTATTTTGCATGAGAGGAATACATCACAACAAGGTAAGTACCTTCCACTAGAAATTAATTCAGAAATGACCACATGCAAATAAGGAGAACCACATTCTCAGTACAAAGCTGCCTGGACATACTGTTGAGAAAGATAAAATGGTCTCAAGTCACTTACCCCTTTCCTTTCAGTCCCTTCTTGAAGCACTTTCCAAGTAAATAGCAAAAAAAGGGCAGAGAATGGTAGAGTTCCATTTGCTTATAATTTAAGGCCAAGCAAAATGCCACTGACCCCAAAAGGTCCCATTCATAAGACAAATAAAGTACACCCCACAAGGCAAAGCCAAGGCTCACTGAGTTGTATATGGTTTTTTATGTCAAGGACAAGATACACATCTTAGTACTAGAAGTCAGTAACGAATGCCCTGAGGGACAACAGTAAAATAGCATGCAAAATAAGTTTTTCCAACTTAGTTCTAAAAACACATTGCCGGTTGTGACTACTGTGTTCACAGACAGAAATAACTTTACTTCTGTTTCAAGTGTAATTTTTATATGTTTAAGCTTGCACAGGCAAAAATGAGGACAAATTGTGTGTGTGTGTGTTAAATATACATGTAATGTATATTCAGTCAACCAAGCTTTTGGTGACAGTGACACTACTTGGTAAGACGCATCAGGATAAATATTTTTTTCTTGGTATTGACATGATTAAGGATAAAGCTTTCAAGAGTGTCTCCTCCCAGCTCCCAAAAGATATGTGCAGAATATTCAAATACGTCAGTATTTAAATTATATATTATTTAGTTCAAGGACTCCCAAGGTTTTTGTAATTATATTATATTCACAATGCACCCACATCCATGATCAGTTCCCTCAGCTGCTAATACTGTACAAGCAATGAATAATAGTTACTAAAAGCAACATTACTTCCTTATGACTTTGAGAACAGGTTCCCAAGCTCAGTAGAGTTTGAAGAGATTAAACTACACTCACTATTAAACTGCAACAAAAGATTAGCTTTGTCTTTTACTGTTACTTTTACACAATGAGAGATACTTGTCAGAAATTTCACAATATTTTGTTTTCTCTTTGTCAGTATAAATAGCTGTGATAACACATTCAGATTGTCTACATTGCTTTCAGCCCACTCAAATTTCCCACTGAAAATCACCATGTGTATTTGAAATCTCATCAACAAATTGTTATACCAAAAGGCTGTGATCTTGCAGAGACCTGCAGCAGCAGTTAAAGTTAAGTAAATCTCTCGCCTTCTCAGGAGCTGGTCACAAACAGTGAAGTTATTCAGGTAAAGTCACAGGGCTGGAAGAGACCACAGGAGACTATACAGAACATAGTCTGCATGTGTCTGCTTCAACACAGTGTCTGCTGCACCTGTGTCATTCCTGACATGAGGTTTGCCGAACCTCTTCAAAAGGTCTAGGTGCTGCAGATTCCACAACATCCACAGACAATCTATTCTAGCATTCACTGTAACCATGGTTCAAAAGATATTTCCATGTATAAATATTCTCTGTGGTAATTCAGGCCATTACTTCTTGCCCTATCCAACATAAGACACACAGAACAGATTATTGCTGCCTTCTTTGTACATCTTTCACGTATTAGAAAATTGTAACCCTGTGTCTTCTTCTGACCACTAGCTTCTCTCCCCTAAGATGAACACATTAATTCCCATTCCCACTCTTGTAAGTGATGTCTCCAGATGATCTACATTTTAAAGAGTCAGGTCAAAAATAGAATGTCAGAATTCCTGAACTGTAACTCAAATATCCAATAGCACTATGATTTTTTTCTTTTTCCTTCAAAATCTGCTTTCTAAGATACATCATCTTCCAAGGTCACCAGGTACTCTCTTGGAAGAAAACCACAAATTAGTAAACTATTGATTGTCAAAACTTCATTTAGTAGTAGATGCTGAGATTCAGTATCTCCTTGGAATATTTAAATATCCACCTTTATTACAACTCCAGGATTGTGTCCCTCTGGCTCAATGGCACTGAGCAGCACAGCCTGGAGTAGTGGAGTAACAGCATTTGCTTGTTGATGTACAAACCAAGTATAAAAACAGAAATCTTACTAAAAAAGACCCACCTGTGAAGGTGTCTGCCACCAAAATTGACTAGTTAGCTCTGATGGCCTAACTCGTATTAGATGTCTAGCTTTTAAATGATTAGGCATTAAATGAAGTGAATTCAGTCTCAAGTAATTGTAAAGGCAAGACAGAATGGCATATTTTACGGAACTGAACATTTTACACAACTACACTTGACACACTCCTCTGCCATCTGCAAGAAGATCCAAGGTGATTCTCTTTCCAAACACAAATCACAGGAGCACAAGCCATCACTCTTTTCACTGTCATAGTACCGTTGACATTTTCTGCAACAAAGTGACTGACAGAAATACAAGCTTAAGGCACGGAAAGAATGCTATTTATGTTTGGATTGATTTGTCCCAATATCAACTATTTATCTCCAATATATTTCAGACTTACAGTTTTCTCTACTGAGAGGCAGAAGCCCCACAGATGACTTCATATACAAAGGTAACCGTCTTGCCAGCTAAAGACTAGTACTAAAGAACAGTGTTACTTTGTAAATGGAAATTCATTTCACTGCAGAACAAGGATACTGGAAGTGCCCATGGTCAATAAGAATGAGGCCTGGATAAAGCAGTATACAGAGAGCACTGGAAACCTGGAAAGAAGGATCAAAAAGAGAGAGGGGAAAATAATTACTTCTAAGTTAGACATTAGACAGAGGAACTTATACTACTTCTCCAGTACAGAAGTTTGCCCCTCCATGGTGCATCCTATATGTAGGAATCATCTTCTCTACAAGTAATCTTCTGTCAGTAATATTTTGAGGAATAAAAAAGGACAAAGATTTTCCATAAATAAGAAAATACTGAACAGCTACCAGCCTGCCCTTTGCCAGCCAGCTCAAAGATCACCCACACCCATCTTAAACGTTGGAACCACTCCAAAAATCCAAAGACTTATTATTTCAAAATGTATCAGAGACTTATTATTTCAAAATGTATTGGTTCTACCATAAGGAGTGTGCAAGACAAAGCAGTTCCTAGACTCCCCCATGTCACAGCACAAATCTTGGTTTTGCCACCCAAGTAATAAATTCAGAAAGAAATATAATTCAGGAGTTCATGGCTACTAAACTTCAGAGCATCTTGTTATTGTTATTGAAAGCACTAAAATAATTGCTGTAAGGTAAGTTAATGGCTTTTTTCTTTTTAATGGAAAAGCCTTCAATACGAGATACACTGATTGTCATCAGTTTTACATCAATTAAAATACAGAACATGGCGATGGCTTCAATTAATTCTCATACTGTTACATTTCTACCCTGTTTTCACTGTACGTTTTCTTTGGTTTTTAATTTACACACACACCAGATACTTGCCTTCTTTTTAGTAGATGTTTCTTTCAAGGAAAAACAATATAAAATAACTGCAGGAATATAAACCAGCAAATCAGCAACAAACACTGAAAAATAAAGATTAACTTTACATTAGAATCCTCCCACATACCTCATCTTAATGCTATTCAAGTTGTATATTTTTATCTGGATTGTGAATCCTTGACTCTGCTTCTCAATGCTCCATATCTTGGTTGTATCCAGTGTAAAAAAACTCAGATGCTAACAACTACACAGTGTTGGTGTGAGAGTAGTTGCCTACCTTTTGAACGTGGGGTCTGCATCTGTATCCTCACTGAAAACTTCACTTTAGTCAATCTAACGGAAGTTCAAAACTCATGTGACTATAGTTTCAGCTGAATGTGCTTTTCTATTGTCTTACATTACATTACAGTATGTTTCATTGTTTTAAAGATAGCTCAGGTTCAGTAGTTACAGCAAAGCTAATTTTTTCAATTTTTTGGGGAAAGACAAGGAAAAAATATAAGCCAATAAACATATAAAAAATCAGAAAGTTCTTCATTAGGATAAACTGGGTAGTTCCACTTCAAAGGACAAAAAGAAATAGGTCTACAGAATTTGATCTTGTTAATGTTTCTAATGCTATCATTTCTGATGTCCAAAAGCTGCTGCTTCCATGTGTTCAGCTGTTTTGGCTTCTGGCACAGCCTCAGTCAATAAGGGAGCACACTCTAGTTCCTCACATGCCAAAATGAGAGAAGGCATTCTTAATTCTCAAAAGAAATCAACTACAACTAGATCCAGTCAAGTTGTTTGATGGAACAGATAGTCTGGAAACACAATTAAGAAGCTCTAGATTATGACAACCTCCAATGTATCTGTGTGAATTACTAGTGATATGGATTAATAGACTAAAATTAGTTTTTTGGCTTTGATCATCTGCCTACAGCAAATATATGTAAGAGGGTCAACAACAAAAGAGAACCAGCAAGTTCACCTGCCTACAATTATGTCAACTCCTGCTCACACTTAAACCACCAGGTAAATTCTTCTTGAGTGTTGTCTTAAGAGCCTGAGAAAAATCTCAGATGATTTCTATAAACTGGTTTCAGAAAATGTGCATTTATTCCAACAGAGAAAGAATACTTTCCCTCTTTTTAGTCATGGACTTTGGAAGAAAATGTTTAAAGACATCAGTTATTTAGTGATGAATTGTTTTGCAGGCTTAAGCCACAGTTAAACAAATATACCCAAGGTGTTAGCAAAACAAATACACTGACACTTAAAATAAAGGTGTAATACCAACAGCTGACATTGACCATTCTGAATTATTTTAATGCATTCTTCTAATGGCTATTGTCAAGAAGTGTTTATCAGTTCTCCTAGATCCATCAGTGGTTTGTCAAGTGAGTTGATTTCAAAATTAATAAAGACCATTTCAAGGGTAATTAAGTTCTAGTGATTTTTTTTTTTTTCAATTCAATCAATTACTAGAGACCAGACTGAGAGGTTTGTGAAGTACAGAAAAGCTATTCATGAACAACAAATTCTGCTGCTGCAATCAGAAAGCATTTTGTGGAACTCTAGTGTTACACAAAGCAAAAGACAGATTTAAAAGGAAAGAAAACAGTAACAGGATAATATGGCATCTGCCATTGCTTAGAGAACAAGAGCTCACTGGCCACGTTGTTTGCTGTCCTACTGATACAGTTACTGAATTAAGTTATCTACAGATTTCTTTCTGCACTTGTTTTACCCTTTTCTATGTAGAGGCAGTTCAAAATAATCAAATAGTCAGAAGACTGGTGACTTCAGGAAAATGAAATTTAGGATAAAAGTGGTAAAATACATTTTTGCTTTTTTGTTAACAGATGTTTATCTCTAGGAAATGGTGACAGTTGGAAAGAAAAGTGACATCTTTAAAAATATCAAATACCTCTCCTTTTCAGATAAAGTATACAGTTCATAATAGAGATCTGAGACCTCAAGAGGCTGTGAAGTCAGTCTACATGCAAAATAATTTTACAGTAAAAACAAGCTAAGCTGAAAATGAAAAGCATATTTATCAGAATGGAAGGGAAAACAACAATACTATTTTCAAAATTCAAAAAATGGGTCTACGCTACAAAAAAGTAGCTTTGTTTTAGTTTTTACTGAATCAATTAGGTTGAAAACTTGTTTGTATAATTTATATTCATCAGCTTCACAAATGATGGCAGAAGAGAAAAGAACACAGGAGTTTGGTTCAAAAATGGACCTGCAAAGCCACCCAAGTCAAATAACCAAGAGTAAACTGATGAAGACAGAAAAGCTGCATGATATTAAACATGCTAAATTAGTAAGCGAGACAAATCTGCACAATCATCCTAAGGAAATATAATTTTCCTACCTGTTGTACGCATAAATAACTTATGTGGCTGACTCTCATACCCCCGAGATGTGTGCAGAGCAATCCAATCAGGATTTATTAACTTTGCACTGTAAAACAAAGTACAGACACATCAAAATGTAGACAGTTCTCATTTCCCTTTACACTCCTTTCAGCAATAAAGATGACATGCACAGGAGCATATTCCAAGAATCAAGATGTATGAGAAGAAATATTTCAAAAAGCAATAGTGATCAATGAAAGATTTTCCTCACCACTAGATCAGTTTACACTATAGACTTCAGCTACTATTTCACAATTAAGAAAAAAAAAATCTTTGAAAACAGTAAAAATGGAATAGCATATTTATTAGGACAAGATAACCACCTTCAGTCTAGTTCCACTGACTTTTAAAAAAAACAATTGTAAATACCTTTCATACTTAAGTATTAAATATAAACCATTTACAGTTCACATAGATGCCCCACATAACTGTGCCTGTGCACTTTAACCTACATTCTTATTCCATAAGTCTCATTCCAACAGCAGTAAAAGCCCTTGTGGAAAAAGTATTCCAATAACAGAATTCTATTTACATGATATCCAGTCATCAAATGTCACTTGGGCTCTCAATACACGAGAGCTTTCCCATGCGATGCGCCCAATTCCTACAGCACTTTTCTCTGTGCATCACTGACCGAACAGCGGCTTATATGGAAAGCTAAATATTTAAGTCACATCTAAACCTGCTAAAATTTACAGACCTGGCAACAAGAAGAATGTAATCCTTCAGTCCCCCTTGCAATAATTACAAGACAGAAAAATAGCAGTATTAATTTTAAGCAATAGGGACACACATAAAATCTATTTCCCTAGCTTTAAAGTAGGAAACAGTATGTGCCATTTCATCAGCTGCCCAGATTGGTATTTTTTAACCTACTAGTTTCTCTCCTCGGAAAGGAGG